ATCAGTGAATCTTTCATCACATGCACCGCGATGCAGCTGTGAATCATTTCTCGACACATTTATATATATATATATATATATATATATATATATATATATATATATACATACACACACACACACACATATATATATATATATATATATGTATTAACTCCCATAACAGAAATATTCCAACAACACAATGGCTTCTATAATACTGCCCTAAAAATAGTGGTTATAAAAATGCTAACATTAACTATAGAGAAAAATTGTACTGGCCATAGGAAAAAAAAAATAGAAAAGAAAAAATCATTTGGTACACCCTCCGTTCAACCAAGTGGTTAGTATTAAACTAGGACAGAAATTCTTAGCCCTAATTGATAAACACTTCCCCACCAATAGTAAGCTTAGTAATATATTCAATAAGAACACCCTAAAACTGAGTTACAGCTGCTCTGAAAATCTAGAACGTATAAGAAAAAAACACAATAATAAGATCTTGAACAAACCCCCATGCCTAAACAGTATTAATAAAAACCCTGCACTTAAATCAGACAATAAAAGGGAAAATTATGTAATTGTAGAAACCTAGAAGACTGCCCACTAGAAAATAAATGCTGCATTAAATCTGTGGTATACCAATGTACTATATCATCCACAGAGAGTCCTAGCACTAATATGATATACATTGGGTCCACGAAGAATAATTTTAAAGATAGATGGAGGCAGCATAAGTGCTCTTTCAATAATATAAATAAAAGAAATCAGACCTCCCTATCTAAATATTTTTGGCAACTGAAGGAAACAAATAGGACACCTAAAGTAAAATGGAAAATTATAAACAGTGCTAGAACATGTAAAACTTGGGATGACCCATGCCCTTTGTGCCTACATGAGAAATTGCACATTATTAAGCTTCTAAATAATAATAATCTATTAAACAATAGACATGAGTTAACGGTTTTTTGTCGACATCATCAGATTTATGGTTTGAATTATTAGCTAAAAACAAACATACAATATAATAACTTGATTAATCCATAGCCCAATCATCAGATTCATGGTCTGAATAATTAGCTAAGAACAAGCATACAATATAATAACTTTCATAATCCATAGCCCAAATAAGTAGTTTAAATACCCTACAAAAAAGATAACCCTTTATGAAGTCCTCAAAAAACAAACGTTACGGCAGTGTTTTGTATATGCACAAATCCCTTTCATAAAAAAATAAAATAAAAAAATAAATAAATCTCCACAGACACGCATGCCAGACTAGGGTTAATACATCTTCCGTTTCAAATTTAGACACCCCCACCTTTCCCTGACTTGACATCCATGAAAGTAACTCTATACTGATACTTATTATTAACACCCAACACACGCCTACCCAATTTAAACAATTCGCCCTAGCTGTTACCATGGAAATTTTGATTTCAATTATTAAAACACGTAAATTTCAGAAATACGTTATTCCAAAAAAAAAAATTTCGCTTGAAGATGGAACAGAGCTTACTTTAACAATTTAATTTAAATAATTATGTTGAAGTTTTCGGCTCTTGTTTTGAAACATGAGACCTCTTATGTTGCGAGTTGGAATCATATTTTTAAATAAATAATTATATATATATATATATATATATATATATATATATATAGAGAGAGAGAGAGATAGATAGATAGATAGATATAGCAAAGGATGACAGTTCATCGGCAACAAATTAGGAAAAATAACCCTTAGCCAACATATAGAGGAATGCAGAGGACAAAATCTGCCAAATTTTAGTGTCTTCCCATTCTGCCAATGGGACTACAGAACCACTGAACAGAGGCGGATTAATAAGGAAATATTTTTCATCAACAAGTTCAAACCCACACTTAATTCATTGCATAAATAGATTCAACTAAATTCCCCATACCATAAACGACATATATAGCCAGTTACGCCCCTTGATTTTCGTTTTTTTTTTTCATTGTTACAAAACATAAGCATCAACACGTGGAGAGACAAACTGCTAAAAACTTTAGGAAAAGCTAAGCGAAACCTGTTAATGTAAAAAGTTTTAAAAAAAGGAAATACTTTTGACAGAAAAAACACTGAAAATCCAATTGTAAGTAACAAAGTCTTAATTATTATCTGTAAAAATTCATATATTATAAATAAATAACACTATTTAAAGACATTTTATGTTTAACATTCTTTTTATAGATACAAGTAATTAAGTAAATGCTCTGCTTTTATAATAAACAGTATTAAATAACATTTACTGGCCTGAATGTCCGAGAAATTTTCATAAAAAAATATTCGTCCTTCGACAGGATTTGAACCTGTATCCTACACGGAACCGTCATTTACGCTGACGTGCCTTACCGCTCGGCCACAAAGGAGCGTTCGGTTGGCAGGGTCAGTTATGAATGTACGTGAGAGATTCATGGAAAGTTGAAGTTTATAAGCAGTAAATTCAAAGAAATCACAAGGTGTTTAGGGTTTCGGTTTATTTTGTTCAAATTTCTCTCGCTCCTTCCCTCCCTCCCTCCCTCCCTCCTTCTCTCTCTCCCCTTATATATATATATATATATATATATATGTTCGTTAGTCTAATTATTCTCCATCTGTTCTCATTTTACCTGGATGTAAAATATGTAATATATGGAATCAGTTAGTTTCTTGGAAATTCGAATGGACGCGTCGTCTTTCTTTGAATTCGTAACGCCACAAATTATACTAACGTTTGTTCAACAAGTTGAATGCACGTGAAACATGATTAACCAATGAAAATCAAACAACATTATTTGTGCTTTATCTTATCGCACGCACACATGCACACATATCTGTAGCGACTCTAGGTCTTGAGTGTTTGCAAGCTTTAACAAAATATACTATTGGTATATCTTGGATGCTAAAATAGTTCCTTTACTCTAACCAAAATATACAATAAAAAAAAAAATCTCAGTTCATAAAATTAAAAACATAAACACATTTTGGTTTTTTAATATTAATTGTAATAATTCTATAAAAATAAACATTTATTTTGAATTTTTTCCAGACATGTAAGGGTATATTTTATACCCCTGCTTATCAAATCACTGATGGTACAGTGAGAGTTTGTATATATGCGTTAATGTGTATATGTATCTCTCTGTCTATGAATATTTACTTTAATTTAGTGTACGTTTATTATCAGTATTGCTGGCTGATATAATATTTTCTCAACGCTACCCCAGTCACACTCTTCATACCCTTCACTCTGACCTTCCAGTCGAAGAGTTAAGGCTGTGACTTTTCGATTTTCGTCGAATTTAAGTCGGGCTAAATTTAATTTTCCTTTTCTCAAAAGATACATTCTATTAAAAAAACTCATACTGGAATAATTTTTTTTTAAATGGACATAAATTGAAATAAAAATGTACTCTTTGAAAAACAGGGCATAGAAGTCATTAAAAAAAAATTATTAATAAAATTAAAGCCAGAAAATATGTATGTCTCCAGCTTTGATAGGACTCAGATCTCCGCAGCTCGACATTAATTTTTTTATTTCATTATATATATATATATATATATATATATATATATATATTTAAAAGAAAAATAGACCACTTTATGGCTCCATTATAATAATTTATTTCACCAGAGCCCTTTTAAAGGACATGATCATCAGATAGCACTTCCAAAATGAAACGAAAAAAATGAAATGAAAATTGATGGGTAGTGTAAGTTTTTGTAATTTAACAGAGAGTGTAATAGGAGTAGTTAGAGAGACATGGTAGAGTTTAGGGAGGGTTTAATTTAATATCTCTCTCAATCATACTTAGTATTAGGGGAGGAGAAGTGACCAGACTTTGATCTATTTAAACGGTTAGCTTAACGGAAGTGATATATTGAAATGGGAGGGGAGAAGAGAGAAAAAGGAAAAAGAAAAAAGAAAGAAGAGGGAGAGGGAAGTAAAGAGAAAAAGGCTGTAAATCGGTTTTACATATTTAGGAGATGGTTGGTAAGTTTTAGCAATTTATGTAAAAAGTAGATTTTAATGTTTGATAGTAATTTAGATGTCAAACAAACCCCGAAGAAATTAATTTGATGCTTGCTAGCAATTTAAATATTTAACTTTTTTTTACAAATAATTTAGGGGTTTAATATAAGTTAAACACTGTATTTATTAACACATTCATAGAGAACACATTAAAAAAAGTTTTAAACTATAACAGTTTGTTTACCTGACTAATAGTACTCTTTTAATATTCTAAAAGACAGTTACGGTAACATTTTTATCAGTTTGAATCTAATTAATGAATGCAATTTGTAATTATTTTTAGATTATTATCAGTATTTCTGACTGATATAATATTTTCTCAACACTACCCCAGTCACACTCTTCATCCCCATTCACTCTGACTCTTTCTTACTTAAATTTTAAATATTAAATATATATAAACATTGCTTAAAGCGATAAGAAATTCAATCATCATGAATATCTTTATCTTTGCTAAAGCTCGTCTTTCTCTTTTTCTAACTTTTTTTACTCTTCTTACCTCCTTATGTATTCGCTTGAATCAGAAATAACTTCCATTTTTCTTTCTCAACTTTATTCTTAAAAAATAAAGTAAAATTACTTTCTATTCAATTATATATTCACTATTGTTTGCAATGAGTTATTGCCAATTATCAAGCAACACTTCACGCAGCAACGTCACTGGAATATGGCGGGTGGATTAGAACAGACTAACCGAGTTCCAATATTGTTTTCTAGGTTGTTCTTGCTGTATGCGTCTTTGTGTTGTGATCGAGGAGAACAACATTTTTCATATTGACGAGCGCAGGACGCTTTTGACCATTATTTGATAGAGATGTTCCTACTGCTGAGCGTATAAATATACCTTTCGTGTTACATTTTGAGTCTATGTGTGACTTTGTATGTGTATATGTAATGCAAATGACCGTGTTACGTATGACTGACTTACATGTGCTTATACTATTTAACGAACACAAAAGCATACGTTCACACATAGATGCACTATTTGAATTTTAATAAGACAGTGTAATAATACATAACTCCTCCACTCAGTCAAGGCAACCCCTGCCTTGGATTGAACAATAAAATAGCGAAGTTGGAGACAAAAATTTAATTTTTTTAAATCCTAAAAATTCAAGAAATTATAAGATTTTATTGAACTTCGGAAATTATTTTCATTATTTTAAATTTTTATTTCTAAGATATATTTTAGGTCTCAATGAATTAATGTATATATATATATATATATATATATATATATATATATATATATATATATATATATATATATATATATATATATATATATACAAACAAACCTACATTCGCACGCAATTTGAATAAAATTAAAATGGACATCTCTCTTGAAGGTTAATTTCCATTTTTTTCTGGTAACAACCACTGTGCAATTCTTTGAAGTCATTTTTATGACTTTTGCTCTAAACTGAATATATTTTCTAAATGTATCATTTTAAATGAACAAACAATTTAGATGTGAAATTTGGTCATTTTACCGTGAGCGAAGCTATAGAGACCCAACTAGTAGAAAAAAAACAGAGAGAAAGATTGTCTTGAGGCAATTTCCCAGTGGAAAATGGTCGAAATGTTTCAATTCATTCTTTTGATTCATTTTCTCTTTCAATTCATTCGTTCATATCCCGTTCTATCTTTTCTTTTCTTTTTAGACTTCAACTCTTTTTTTTTTTTTGCTTCATTCATTTTCAGCCATCTCGTCTTTCTTTTTTATTCATAAATTTCTTCCGTTTTACTTTCTACATTTTAATTTTCTTATTTCCTCATACGTATATGCATTCGAATTTTAGTTTTTTGCTCATTCTTTCTTTCTTTATTCCTTTTTTCCTTCATTCCTCTTTCCTTCCTTCATTCGTTCGTTCGTTCGTTCCTTCCTTCCTTCCTTCCTATATTTCTTCCTTCCTTCCTTTCTTTCTTCCTTCCTTCATTCGTTCATTTGTTCGTTCCTTCCTACATTCCTTCCTTTCTTCTTTCCTTTTCTTCCTTCCTTCTTTCATTCATGCCTTCCTTCCCTCCTGCTTTCTTTCATTCCTTCCTTCCTTCCTTCCTTTCTTTCTTCATTCCTTCTTTTATTCCTTCTTTCCTTCATTTCTTCATTCCTTCCTTCCTTCCTTCCTTCCTTCCTTCCTTCCTTCAGGCCTTCCTTTCCTCCTGCTTTATTTCCTTCCTTTCTTCTTTCCTTCTTTTATTCCTTCCTTCCTTCATTTCTTCATTCTTTCATTCCTTCCTTCCTCCTTCTTTCATTCATGCCTTCCTTCCTTCCTTCCGTCCATTCCTTCCTTCCATCCTTTCTTCATTCCTTCTTTTATTCCTTCCTTCATTTCTTCATTCTTTCATTCTTTCTTTCCTTCCTTCTTTCTTTCCTTTTCTTTCTTCTTTCTTTCATTCATGCCTTCCATCCTGCTTTCTTTCCTTCCTTCCTTCCTTCATTTCTTCATTCTTTCCTTCCCTCCATTTCTTCCGTCCTTCTTTCATTCATGCCTTCTTTCCTTCCTGCTTTCCTTCCTTCCTTCCTTCCTCCCGTTCCCTTCCTTCCTTCCTCCCGTTCCCTTCCTTCCGTCCTTCCGTTTCGTTCCGTTCCGTTCCGTTCCTTCCTTCCTTCCTACCTTCCTTCCTTCATTCCTTCTTTTATTCCACCTTCCTTCCTTCCTTCATTCTTTCTTTCCTTCCTTCCTTCCTTCTTTCCTTCCTTCTTTTATTCCTTCCTTCCTTCCTTCCTTCCTTTTTAATCCTTCTTTTATTCCTTCCTTCCTTCTTTTATTTATTCCTTCCTTCCTTCTTTTATTCCTTCCTTCCTTCCTTCCTTTAATCCTTCTTTTATTCCTTCCTTCCTTCCCTTCCTTTTCCTTCCTTCCTTCCTTTTCCTTCCTTCCTTCTTTTATTCCTTCCTTCCTTCCTTCAATCCTTCTTTTATTCCTTCCTTCCTTCCTTCCTTCTTTTTTTATTCCTTCCTTCCTTCCTTCCTTCCTTTAATCCTTCTTTTATTCCTTCCTTCCTTCCTTCCTTCCTTCCTTCCTTCCTTCCTTCTTTCTTTCCTTCCTTCCTCCCTTCTTTCCTTACTTTCTTTCGTCCTTTCTTTCTTCATTCCTTCTTTTATTCCTTCCTTCCTTCATTTCTTCATTCTTTCTTTCCTTCCTTCCTCCCTGCCTTCCTTCCTTCCTTCCTTCTTTTCTTCATTCCTTCTTTTATTACTTACTTCCTTAATTTCTTCATTCTTTCATTCCTTCCTTCCTTTCTTCATTCCTTCCTTCCTTACTTCCTTCATTCGATTCACTTTTTTCATTCATTCCTTTGCCATCCTTCTTCTCTACCTATATATATTTTTTCCATCTCTTTTTCATTCCTTACTCTCATGTCTGTTCTCATTCGTCTCCTTTTACACCATTCCTTCGTTCGTCTTTTACAGTAATGCTTCCATGTGTACGCGTAGTGGTGTGTGTGTGTGTAGCTTGATAGATAGGAAAGTACGCTTATTTTGCACATTGGTGTGTGTCGGGGGTGCGGACACACCAGTCGTAACATTTCCATATGCTCGCTCCCAGGGGATGTTTTGTTATTTGTTAGTTTTGTGTTTAGCCACACTGCAGAGCCAACAGCAGGCCGAGAATTTCGTTTTTTTTTTATTTTTATTTTTTTTGCCATTGATGGCGAGATATTGGGGTGAAGTGGTGGAAAACGCTACATGGAAAGTTGAAGGGGGTAGCGAATGCCTCGGGGATTGTGTTGTGTATTGGCGTCTGCGCTTACGCGTGCAGACGTATCTGTAAAGTCTTAAGTGTGTTTGTGCATGTGTGCAAGTGCGGGAGGCGGCGACTAAAGTGGGCCGAATATATAGTAGGCGGGGGCGAGTGAGTGTCCTTTTGTTTTCTTTACTTATTGAGTGAATCCGTGGAGAAGGGCGTTGCTTATGATCAGCTATGGATGATCCTGATTCAATGCAGGCATGAGATTAGTATTCTAGTTTTATCTATCTATCTACATATCTATAGTGATTTTCCAAGCGTAGCTTAGATGTGACAGAAGGGCGATTGTATGGTGCAGACAGCTAGGATCGAACTCACTACTCAGTCGTAATTGTTCTAACAAGATAAGCTTGCTAACCAGTAAACCGCCTCGAGGTTACCCTAGCTATCTATCTATGTAAGCAAATATATGGATATAGATCCGACAGTATGAAGAAAAATATACTGAAAAAACAAACGAAAATCCTAATATGCGATTATACTGTTTTAATGTTTAATGTCAACGTCGGACGTTTCGGTCTAATAGACCATCTTCAGGACATATTCATAAAACATAATTAACATAGACCATATATAATTCAACATGAAAAAGACGAAGGACATAAAAGCAATACCAATCCAAACAGGTAACTGAAATCTTTTATTTTAGTTATATGTTTGGATTGGTATTGTCCACCGTCGAATTGTTGAATTATATATGGTCTATGTTAATTATGTTTTATGAATATGTCCTGAAGATGGTCTATTAGACCGAAACGACCTACCTATCTTTATATCTAGTGTGAAAGGCTCTGTTTTCAATCGGGAAAACCTGCTAGGTTTTACAAGAAAATTAGCGCTTAAAATCTTAGGATCAAACATTGACCACTAATTGGAACTATTTCAACGATAAAACATTCATTATGATGTCTTATAAAAGGCTGTTGATATGGTAACGGAGCTAAAGTATGCAGAGTGGAGTCGCTTGGAACCGATTGACTTTGAACTCTGTCTCACATACACACTAAGTTATGACGTTCTTACTCGCTTCTGCTTTTTATAGCAGTGCTTGGAAAGAAAGTGCGTAAAGTGTGGTCGGAAAGAAAGTGTGTAGAGTGTGGTCGGAAAGAAAGTGTGTAGAGTGTGGTCGTCTCACTATACCACAGGAGTTCCATCCGAGACCATGACGTGTGAAGCAGTTTTTGGCCAAACATGATATTCTCCAGGTCCGACAACCACCATATTCCCCAGATATCGCTCTTGCGAATTTTTCCTATTCAAAAATCAACTCCCAATAAAGAGGAACAAGATTTCAAGACGTCAAACAAATCCAAGAGAATGCGACAAGGCAGCTGCTCGCTATCCTAAAAAGGAGTTCCAGGAAGAATGTTTCTATCAGTGGAAACGACGCTGGATAAAGTCTTTAGATTTAGAAGGGGGACTACTTCGAAGGAGATTAAATGTTGAACTGATATGTGTTGAAGTTTTCTTTTCATATTACCCGTCCCTTTTCTTTTTATATCACCAGACTTTTTGATCACACCTTGTATGTCAATTGATAATAGTCTGGTTTCTCTTAGATGTTTTCCTTTACTGAAAGTAATTCTTCTGATAGGCTTAGGAAAGGTATGAAACAATTTCTCTCTCTCCTATCACTTCATCGTCTTTTATGTGCTGTAGGCGATGATGGATATCTCCAACCTCCTGTCATTTGACACTTTACCATCAGTCAGCCATTCACAGAAACTCGTTAGATGCGTTAGTCGATGTTTCTCTTTGCCGTTCTTGCATTTACTTTGTACTCTAAGTTTTAAATTCTCCAAGCCCTCTTTCCATATTATGTGTTCCGGAAATTTAATCTTTCTTATTTTAAGTAGAAATTTCCTTCTAGTTCCTGTTTACATTAAAACTTCTTCGTTGCTCACATGATAAGTCCATGAAATTCTTTGTATCCATTTGTATAGCCACATTTCTGTCGCTTCGAGTCAGTTCTTCGTTTGTAAGAAAATTGTCCAGCGTTCACTAATGGAATGAAAGATAGGAATTATATAGGAGCTTAGCTCTCTTTTCTACGTTTTTAACGAATTCTTCTTGTTTCTGAATATTTACGTTTGGAAGTCATACTTTGTTATCCTGATACCACTTCCGTCCTGGGTATGACGATAAACTACATCAACGTCCAGGGTAAGACGATAAACTACGTCTAGCAGCAAGGCCTCTGATCAGGAGGTTTTGAGGAGCGTGGAACCATCTCTTAATTGCTGGTGTTCCCAGGTCCACCCTGACCCAGGGTGGTAGCCCCTGTTAGGGTCCCAGCTATGGGCAAATAGTTAACCCACAAACTGGGGTCAAAACACCATGAAAGGGTAAAAATAGATTTTAATACCAGAAATGGATTTTTGAAGGAAAAAATATTACCAGAAATGGATTTTTGAAGGAAAAAATATTACCAGAAATGAATTTTTGAAGGAAAATATATTACCAGAAATAGATTTTTGAAGGAAAAAATATTACCAGAAATAGATTTTATTAAGCAAGGAATACAACCAGAAATAGATTTTTGACAGAGAAAATATTACCAGAAATGGATTTTGGAAAGAAAAATTATTACCAGAAATAGATTTTTGAAGGAAAAAATATTAGCAGAAATAGATTTTTTGAAGCAAGGAATACAACCAGAAATAAATTTTTGAAGGAAAAAATATTACCAGAAATAGATTTTTGTAGAAAAAAATATTACCAGAAATAGATTTTTTGAAGCAAGGAATACAACCAGAAATAGATTTTTCAAGGAGAAAATGTTACCAGAAGTGGATTTTTGAAGGAAAAATATTACCAGAAATGGATTTTGATGGAAAAATATTACCAGAAATGGATTTTTGATGGAAAAATATTACCAGAAATGGATTTTTGATGGAAAAATATTACCAACAATGAAGGTTTTGTCGTCATTAAATGACCCAGTGAGGTTGATATACCGTAAAACGTAATCAAACCAAACCAAACTGATACCAATTCGAATTTCTGTATCACATTTTACATAGTCTACACAAATAGTTAAACTTTTGTACCTGCGTGATTTGTCTCTCTTACTGACTACCATACATTCTATCTTCCTCCAGCTGAGAGTTCTTTCTTCTTCTTTTCCATTGCTATCTTGTCTAGGAGTTCTTGAAGTTTTCTTTCTGTGTCTGCTATCAACACAGTTGTGACGTCGCCCCCCTGGTCGCAGCGTCGACTGTGTCGTTCGATCTCGTTCGCGGCACCAGTTGTGACGTCACGTGCTCTCAGGCTCTGATATCCTGGTCACGGACAGCACCAGTTGTGACGTCTTTGCCGCGGCGTCAGCTGTTCGCTCCCCTCGCTGCTCCAAGTGTGACGTTCTAACCCTTTGGTTAGATGAATACCAGCCTCGTCGTTCCCAACTCGCTTCCAACGCCTGGTTACTAGGGTAACTGTACTGATCTCCGGTCTGCCTACCCACGCTGTGATTAGATCTTAGACAGACGGGATCAAAAGGGATTGGGGCCGTATGCCAGCTGGGTTCAACGGGGTGATAACACACAAGAAAAAGAAAAACTCACGAGGCCAAAAAATTATTGAAAAAAAGGTAACAACCTTTTATATCTAAATGTTCGTTACACAAAATTGTTCCTACCTCCCGACCCGTTTTATGGACTGTGGCACCAAGCTTCTACCATACAACTTTAAGACTTCGAGTTGCTTGTTCTCTAGAAATTTGCATTTCGGGGTGTGGTTTGGTTTCGACACTGGGCGCTGATCTCTACCAGTCGTTCACGGCTGATTTCCCTCGCCGTCAGTGCGCGAATTAACTTCTCTTCTGCTTCGGGTGGACGAATTTATTCACTTCGACTTGAGTTTGGATGAATTTATTCACTTCGACTTGAGTTTGGATGAATTTATTCACTTCGACTTGAGTTTGGATGAATTTATTCACTTCGACTTGTCTTGGACGAATTTCTCTTCATAGGCTTGGTGTGATTCCAACTTCTCCTAGTCACAACTGCAAGTTAACTTCTTCTTCGTCCGAGGCGCAAACCCAACTCCAACTGCAACTTCTCTGCCTGTCCGGCCTGTAACTGTCTCGCCGTCCGCCCTGCAACTCTTCTGCCTGTTTGGCCTGCAACTGTCTCGCCGTCCGCCCTGCAACTGATTTCTGTCGATTGGGGTCCTGCTTTTATTGACGCCGTAACAAACTGGGGTGGGTCTGTCGGCGCCAGGGTTTTCTTGATAATTCCAAAAGTCGCATTATTTCTGATTTCCCATTATCGCTCTTACTTTCACTCCTACTTCCTTACAGTGCCTCTGGGGGGGAGGCGCATACCCGCTTCCCCTGGTCTCTCGTATGTCAGGTGACCGCTCTCGACCAATGGGGTCCTGGTCGAGCATCTTTCCTCCTCCCTCGCACATCACGTGACCGCTCTCGGCCAATGAGACTCTGGTCGGGTGTCTCTCCTCCTCCCTCATGTATCATGTGACTGCCCTCGGCTAATGAGACTCTGGTCGGTATCTTCCCTCCTTCCTTCGTGACGTCTCCAATCGGGCGTGGACAATCCGTGGCTTTGTTCTGGGGGGAAGAAATACCTTGCTTAAAAAAAAAATCAAATTGTCCTTTTCGCACGAAAATGACGATCCCGGTTTCTTTCACATTTGGCATTTGTCAAAACAGCCTGCCGCTAATTAGATGCGACCTAAAGAAAGAATTTTTCCGCCCTGTCGGCGTCTTCCGCGAGCTAAAACAAATATTTCGCCTCTTTCTTTCGCTCGGGCCTGTTAACAAAATCTTAATTATCTAAATTGAAAATATCTTCCACTCATCATCTGGTCAGGGTTCGTGTATCAATGTTTTGTTTTCGTATACATTTCCCAGCGGTTACTTATCATCTCAATGACACCCCTTTTCGTTCGTTACCTATTAATATTTTTTCCATTGTCCTTAAAATCTTATTTCTTCAACCAAATTGATAACAAACTCCCATACTCCGCGGACACGAAAGTAGGTCAGGTGCTTGACCGACATCTGTTATGCATTAATCGCGCGTGTGCCCATTCGCTCACGACCCCGTCTTGTATCATGTTCCTGTCTTTCCCTTTCTTTCTTTTTATTATTTCTAAACTCTATTTTTTTCAACCAGTTATAACAATTTCTATTTTTCGTGGATTTCGGTCAGGTACTTTGGCCTAGATATCTTTTGACACCTGTTTTGGTGTTAGTTTAAGCGTGTGTGCTTATGACCGGGTTTTGTACCATCTATTTCTCTCTCTTTTCTTTTTATTTTTATTTTTCTTCCTTTTTTTTTTCTTTCGGATCGCCTAAATACAATTAGAGAATTATTCTCAAAACTCAATTATTCTTCGTCTCTAAATAACTATCAACTGGTTAACAAACCGAATAAAAAATAAATCATATATTTATGAATATCTCTCTTCAGTTTTCTAATGATGCATGGTGCCACACAGTGATATCTGCGTATCTTATGTTGTTAAGATAATGCACGCCGTTATTACATCCAGGTAGGTCTTCTCACAAAAAAGGCGTACAAGAAAAAAATTAGGAACATTCACTAACCTATATCTATCGCCTAGACATTGCACCCTTTGTGTGGATGAACGAGCAGGTAAAATGGATTTCTTAAGTTCTTCGTCAGTTTTCCATTAACGGTTTGTTTGAAGACCAAGAACAGGAATTAGAACTAAGAAAGCATTTTGTGACAATGGCCATTCTTTAGACGCAGCACAATCAAGAATTCATGCTTAGATTCTACAGTTCCGTAAACAAAGAGATTTTAGTTCCGAAAAAAATGTCCTGTATATTTAAGATTGTCGTGAACTTGTTATAAAACCCTTTTTTATTTTAATCATTTCACCTCTAAGGAAGGCAATAAAACCACTAAGACGCAAGTGGCAGGGGGTGGGTTACTGAATGTGAAGGAAACTGAGAAAACGTTGCTGGTTGGATAAAAGACAATGTAAAGAACAATATTTATGAAAGATGACGATTGACGTTACATTTCAGTTTTTGAAGATCGTAGTTGGCAGGAAAACAAGACGCTGGAAAAGAGTTCGACAAGCCAAAAGTGCAAAACTATTCGAATAGAAACTTACAGTCACTGCTAGCAATTTCAATACAATGAAAAAAACAATGAGACCTACCTGTCAATCCAGTACTACGCTTAAATTCATGAAGTCTATGTAGAAAATATGAAATCTCATCAGAACAATTACCATGAAAATATTTATAGCAAAGGCACAGGGAAGTATGGAGCAATTGAAACCGAGATGCCAGATCTAGATTGATAACATTGCAGATTCTTCCTCGGATTTACTCAAGCGTCTTTAGATACATACCAGAACCACCTGACTCGATGTAGCGAATGATAGACTTTTAAATGTGCCATGAGTCAGTTATGTGCCATGCGTGTATCTTTCGATACATGACTTCTAAAAGTGCAAAACAGATTCGGGTGACAAAGATTGTCTCGCAAGATACAGTAAAAGAACTTTCCTAGTGGCAAACCTAACAATTAACTCAATATAATCATTAGCAAGAAAATATTCCAAACACATTCCTACTAACGCCCGGAAATAGAATTTTTCTATAGGAATGAAAGAATGAAGAAATAAAGAAAGGAAAGAAGAAAGGAATATAGGCAGGAACGAACGAATGAAGGAAGAAAGAAAGAAAGAAAGGAAGGAAGGAATGTAGGGAGGAAGGAACGAAGGAATTAAGGAAGGAAGGAAGGAAGGAATGTAGGAAGGAAGGAAGGAAGTTTTCTTCTCGTGTGTTAAAATTAATTTATAGAGAAGGCTTGACTATTTTTCAAACAAGTTTCGTAATTTATTTAAGTGTCACTTGGAGATTGGCTACATAGGCAGGACCACTCAGCTGCTAGAGCAGAGAATTGTCCAACAAGTTCCATTACCATAACTGCTTATTCTACAGATCGAGTTCTGATGAGAGAGGAACGATAATCAATCAGCGAATTCAATAAATATTTTTTTTTCCTATTGTTATATTCTATGGTTGTAATTTCTTTTTGTTCTTTTCTAGTTTCTTCTTGCCCTACTTTAACAACTTTTATTTTACTTTTTAATTGTTTAAATTAAATAAGTTAATTAATTCAAATAAAATAAACAGAATAAATTAATAAAATAAATTTGCTCACCAAAAATTTGTAATCATACCGGCCCGAGAAGTTTTCCTTCTCCTAGACTAGTTACAACTTCAAGGCATGAGAGGTTCGTTTTCCTTACTATTTAACCCATAGATGGGGGAGATTGTTATGGAGTGATTTCACAGTGGAGGCTTGTATTTGTACTAAGTCGGTCCTAAAATAGGTTCGACGTACAAAACGTTAGAAACTTGATATAATAGGTAATGACGCAGTAATCTAGTTGTGGTGGCTGATGCTTTAGTATCCGACTAACGGTCGTCCGGCATCGACTGACTGACCAACTCACTGAGCGACTTCACTTGTTACTCTTACTACTCCTACTTATTATAGGTGGGAGAGTCTATTAACTATAGAATAGGTGTGTTCCACTGTAACAGAGATATAGTGTTCCCTTCTGCGAGGGCATTATTGTGAAGTAAGCCAAGCAAGTTCGACCGGGGATTGAATTCAGCTCGCTGACTCCACTTCAGTCAGTTATGTGTCATGAGTCAGTTATGTGCCATGCGTGTATCTTTCGATACATGACTGACGAGGCAGATTTTTTCACGCAGTATGTTGCCTTTTCTTTGTGCGATAGACCAGTTGCCATCCAAGGCTATAGAACCCGGTCTGTCGTGCTATTTACCCAGAGCTGAGAGGAAGAAGAAGAGGATTTATACCTTTCCCAAGGGTATTAGCACGTAAGTGAATGTAATGGATTCGACTGGAATTCGAACTTGGCATATATACAAGGAATCAGGCGATCATGTATCTTTCGATACACGACTGACGAGGCAGATTTTTTTCCCGCAGTAGGTTGCCATTTCTTTGTGCGTAGACCAGCTGCCATTCAACGCTATAGAACCCGGTCTGTCCCGCTATTTACTCATAGCTTGGGGGGGAGGATTTATACTTATGCCAAGGTTATTAGCACGTAAGTGGATGTAAATGGATTCGACTGGAATTCGAACTCGGCTCTCCGATTCTTCAATCGACCACTTAATGAACCAGCATCACTTACGATTCTGTGGGTTAAATAGAATGTCAGACTAGGTTCTCTTGGCTGGGCACCAGTTTAGGAGAAGGAAAACTGAGTTCAAACATGGGGAAGGCTGTTTGAAAATTTCCTGGAACACTGTGCACCATTTCTCTGTTATTAATTCTTCCGAAATGAATAGCTTGTTCTATACAAGCATTCACCTCTATAATCCAATCATACGTGTGAATTGTTCAGCAAGTCAGTTCTAAAAACTGAAGCGTTGGGTCCTTGAACATAAATACCACTTTACAAATTTCAGTCAGACACTCTCCGACCTTTTTTAAATTCTTTGTCCATGCTTAAGGATATCATTAAGTTGTTGCTTTTTGTTAATTTCCTTGTGTTACCGTTTTTTATCGAATGAACACAACTGGTAACAGAAAATGGATATAACACAGAGATCAATTAATACACGATATTTCTTCATACGATATCCATGTATACTACTACTACTTGAATTCATAATAATAATAAAAATAATGATAATAATAATAATAATAATAATAATGATAAGAAGATTCTTCATTTAATCATCATAGGGAAAAAGACAAAAGGAGAAAAATAAAAGAAAGAAGATATAGAAGTAAATAAAATCGGAAATAAAAACGAAAAAAGAAATAGATGTAATATTAAATGTTTAAACAAAGAAAGAAAAAGAAATAAAAAGAAAATAAAAAAAGAAAAAAGAAGAAAGCAAGATAGAGAGAAAGTAAAGGAAAGAGAAATGAAAGGGAAGAAAAAAAAAGGAAGAATGTAGAGGAGAAATGAAGAGAGAGTTAAACCGAAAAGAAAACAAAAAGATGGAGTAAAACGAAAGGATATATATAAAAAAAAAGAAAGAAATGAAAGAGAGAAAGAAAAGGTAAAAAAAAAGAAAAAGAGGATAGAAAGTTGTAGACACGTTGAAGGATGGAATAAACCTAAATAAATAAAGAGAAGAATACAAAAAATAAAATAAAATAAATAATTAAATCAAGATAAATAAATAAAAAAATAAATAAAAGACCGGGGTGGGGGGATACTCTATTTGACCATATACAAAACTCTACCGACGAATCTATGTGAAGAAAGTAAATAAAAACAATAAAGAATACGGGGACACACACACACACTCGCGCACACACAGACTCGCACACACACACACACACACACACACTCGCGCGCACACACACACACACACACACACACACACACACACACACACACACACACACACACACACACACACAGAGAAATTTTTTTTAAATTTCGAAAAATAAATCTGAGAAAGTATTCTCGTTTCATTTTTTTTATTTTTATTATTAATCATTTGTTTCCATCAGGAAAATGGTGTCGGAAATATTTTTTTTCGCAAGTTTCCCTCTTTTTCAGAAACAACCCCCCCACCTCCCCCCAAAAAAAACTTCTAATTCTTTTGCTTTTTTCTTTTCTTCTTTTTTTGTTAGAGAGAGAGAGAGAGAGAGAGAGAGAGAGAGAGAGAGAGAGAGTAATAAATATTACGTTGTCATTAGTCACACTTATGTGAACGTCTAAATCCATTAAGCAAATGAAATTATCATTACCAACAATTCGGAATACCTGCCGGACAACGCTCTCTCACAATTCTTTCCATGACGACCGTGGCTATTCTGCTATGTCTTTTCTTATCAGCACCCCCCCCTCTATCTCATCGCTTCATCTTCTGTCTAGTGCTTCCTTACGTTATCTATTTGAAACCAATCAACCAACCGTTTGCTCCATCTGTTATAATTTCTTCCATGTGACTATCTATATCTGTTTTTGTCACTAAATCATGTCTGTGAACATTGATCTATATCAACCTCTTTCTACATCCTTGAGTTATCTCAAGAATTGATTTAATTTTCATTTCCGCGTACTGAAATAAGAACTAAAGGAGATATCCCTAGATATGGGCGCCTCCATCTTTAGATACACCTGATGAAGGCCGGAGGTCACAAAGCCCGAAACGTCGTGACAGTTGAGACGTCTATATCTGTTTTAGATCTTTCTCAATATCATGCACCCTCGATTTGATATTGACTAAAATTTTCCCTTACATGATAAATCTGAAGTTCTTGTTAGAATCACTGAGTGAAATGTCCCGGTGAATTTTGTCTTTAATTGCTTTTCTATCCTGCTTATAATTAGGCTGCGTTTGGTTACAATAAAATAAGTTAAGATATGTCAAGGAAAGGGGTTTTATGTCTAGCTTTATGTTCGTACCATTTTACAACCACTATGGCACCATTTATACGCAAATAGACGGCGTAGCTATGGGTTCGAACCCTTGAACCGACTCTGTCTAATTTCTACATGTACCACGTGGTAAACAAAGTAATTCCTCCAAGCCCCCAGTATAGGCGCGCTATATCGAAAACATATTCATATAAGCAAATAGCTTAGAAACCTTTGCGAATGATACTGTCCCACACTTTACTTACGAACTCAGCGTTAACAATAAAATCCCTTTCCTTGACTTATTAGCCGATGCCAATAGCCATAATTTTACAACCTCCATTTACAAAAGACCCACTAACAGAAACTTGTATTTACTCAAATACAAAACTGAATGTCCTCATGATAAAAAAAAGTACCTGTTATAAAAATCATGACTTACCGAGACAAAGTAATCTCTTCAAAAATATTATTCTATAAGGAACTTACTAAAATTAAAGAGACCATAGTCAATCCGCAGTCCTTTAAAAGAGCTGTGGTGAAATAATTTATTACAGTGTAACCCGGATATAAGAGACCCGGATATAAGAGAGACCCGGATATAAGAGACCCGGATATAAGAGAAACCCGGATATAAGAGAGATTTTCTCTGGTCCCAAATTAGAGCCTGTGTTAATGTATATAAAATAGACCAAACCCGGATATAAGAGAAACCCGTATATAAGAGACTTCTTCTCCGGTCCCGACAACTCTCTTATATACAGGTTACACTGTACATGGAACCTTAAAGTGGTCTGTTTTTATTTAATATATATGATGGACTCGTATGAGACAACAATCCTGTACGGGATTTGCAAATATATATTTAATATAAATGTTATAATATAATTAAATATAATTAAGAAGCTTCCAGATTGGGTGGAACCTTTGTTAACTTAAATCCGACTTTTACAAAATGTGACAGAAAACGAACAGTCTGGATATATAATAAGGTACAGTGTAACCCGGATGTAAGAGACCCGGATATAAGAGAAACCCGGATATAAGAGAGATTTTCTCTGGTCCCAAATTAGAGCCTGTGTTAATGTATATAAAATAGACCAAACCCGGATATAAGAGAAACCCGGATATAAGAGACTTCCTCTCCGGTCCCGACAACTCTCTTATATCCGGGTTACACTGTATTTTACGGTGCCTTGGGTTGGTTGTAATGCTGCCTAGGACCTAAAACCATGCTTAATTAACAAATATAAGTAAGGCCTTGTTTCTGGCATTTATATTGATTTTGACTGTATTCATTACACATACATATGTTACATTTATGTGTAAATGTGCTCAGTATCAGTGATGGAGGGTATGTAAATATAAAAGTGGGAACTGATGTCAACACCAGTCGGTGAGGGTCTCTTTCAAGGGCTGAAGATTGCGTTGAAGCATGAAACAGACTGTCACCGCATAGTGCATGACCACTGTTGACCATGTTTGCCGTAGTCTCTGAATATGGAATCCAGTGAAGTCCGTAATCTCTTCAATATCAGAGGTTGGCAGTGTAGATTCGGAGAAAGTAGCGGCTGTTAATTCTTTAAATCTTCGATATCAGGTTGGCAGTGAAGATAATTTGGGAGAAAAACAAAATGGCTGCCTTTATACACGTCGCATTGAATATTTTGAGCTTTCTGATTGGTTAACCCTTCTATTGGTGGACTATAAAATGAGTCAGCTCATTTTGGCTAGCTCACTAGTACACACATATATCCAAAAACTGTAACAACCACAGTGTCCACTGATATATATATATATATATATATATATATATATATATATATATATATATATATATTTTTTTTTTGTATGAATGATTCATGAATTTATAAATTATAATTGCACCTATAATTGAAATTAAAATAACTGATCCAACGTGCAACTTTCGGATAATAAGTGTGACATTACTGTAATTATTGAACAATATAGTTCATGCCATAATCACGGAAAATCTACCAGTAAAAAAAGAATTCTCTTATTGCTACATTTGTACAAAAACGGAGAACCTTAAAATTTAAAATTCAAACTCAGCGTTGCGACCGCACGTTCCAAAACAATAACACATTTCTCATAGCATGTTTTGGGATTACATCTCTATTTTCGTTGTCCTCTTATTACTGAGAAGTAAAAAAAAAGAACAAAATCTATTTCCATACCTGAGTATGTCTGTAGGAACAGACGAAAGCTTGTAAAAACTAAAAAGACCTTATGCAACTGGAATTTATAAACAGGGATCATATCATTCATATACAGGTTCGGGGTTGGTGTATCTTATTGATATTGTTTGTGAAGATGTATTCTCGCCATTTAAATCATTAACCTCTATATTTGTTTTTTTTTTTGTATGAAGGATTCATGAATTTATAATATATATATATATATATATATATATTGTCATCCACAGCTCATCAGTGTGGCTAGATATATTTGTTTCATTAAAGACGACAGAGAGACAAGGTACTGGGATTAAGCTTTTTCTTTAATTTTTCTTGTATACGAACAAGTGTTTTCTTTTCTAGACATAGAGCTAACCTTATCCTCAAGAATAACAACGCACCATCAAAATCAAAATTACAACGAACGAGCATTATTTATGAATTCAAATGCCCTCTAAGGAACTGTGTTCCAGATCAAACCGAATTGATAAATAATTACATCGGTCACACTACTAGATGTCTGTCCAGACGCCTTACGTTACACCTCTCTGACCACAATTCCGTTAGAACTCATTTAAACATACACACAAACTTACCAGACTCCATCCGAAACATACAAGTAGAAATATAAACATCCACATGTAAAAAAATGATTAAAAATAATGCAAGTTTTTAATAAAAAAGAAAAAAAAAGTCAACACTAAATAATATTAACTACGAACACGGCCACAATGTGGTAACTGTGTTTGGAAAATAAATCATCCCTATAACTCTAGAAGTGTGCACACAACGCATACATCCAGCTAAAAAGCAAAAATAAAATCATCCTTGATAATGGCTAAAAGTATAGCCGAAAGCGCTCTGAATTACAGAACATTTGGACAGTTTCTACACACTCTGTGTCCAGAAAAGAAAACACTTGTTCGAACATAAGAAAAATTAAATAAAAAGCTTACTAGCAGTACGTTCTCTGTCGTCTTTTATAAAACATGCATAAATGAAGGGTTGATACCTAAATAGGCTAAGTCCGACAATCATTTTAATATATTTTCTGGTTATACCTTATTTTTATAGATACAATTATTGAAGTAAATACTCTGTTTATAATAAACAGAATCAATTGCATTTACCGGCCTGAAATTTCATAGAACGTATGTGAACTCTGCCAGGAATACGAACCTGTATCCTACACGAAACAGTCATTTGGCCTGACGTGCTATACTATTTTTGCTACAGCGGAAACGTCCGCTCAGCAAAGCCAAATTTAAACAAAGAAATTTTCCACGATCTTTCTCGAACAATCATATCTGCTCGAGGCGTATTTTAACGTAAAAAAAAACTGACAACATATATTATGAGATGGATTAAGTTTTTAAATTAGGATATGGAAATCCGGACAACGTTTTAAATTTGACAAATGGAAATGTTTCATGAAAATAGACTTGAGTGAAAATAGATTTAATTATGCTTTCCACCATTCAAGGCTTCATCAGATCCCAAAACGAAAGAATAACATGTATGTATGAGTACTTGTGTGTATGCTTAAGCATACACACAAATACACATGCACACATTTCCTATTTTTCAATCAAATCTCTATTTTCAATCAAATAAACACACACACACACACACACACATATATATATATATATATATATATATATATATATGAGATCTGATCAAGAAGTATCGGGACTGCTGCTATGGTAATGGAGCTAAAGCATGCAGTGTAAACCCGCTAGTTACAGATATATCTTGAACTCTACCGAGCGTGCAGACTAAATTATAACGTTCTTCTTCGCCTTCGTTGTTTATAGTAGAGCTTGGAAGGAAAGTGTGTAGAGTGTGGTCGGCTCACTCAAAACGGTCATAACAAGTGACGAATCGTGGGTCTGTGGTTCCGACCTCGAAACTAATGCTCAGTCTTCACAGCGGAAGACCCCAACCTGTTGGCAGTTTTCTTCGAATACAAGTGCGTTTTTCATCATGAGTATGCTCCACCTGGTTAGAGAGTAAAGAAGGAATGCTATTGTTATATGTTGGCGTTTGTGGTATGCTGTTTCGGTGAATGGCGTCTCTATCATGACAACGCAACTGTCCATTTAGTGCAGCTTGTGCGACAGCTTTCGCGCAACATTCTCCACAACCACTATATTCTCCAGATTC